TTAAAACATAAATCATTAAAACAGTGTGTCCAAAAACAACTAAAATTTAACTGTTTTCCTAACAAAGCTAGTTAAGGTTACAAAAATTGTCAAATGCTTTTCTTTATAACATGCCACCAATGAAACCCTATATTTGACATTTATTTCCACTATTTCGAAAGGGTCACTGTAATTTAAACATAGAATTAAAACTCTTCTGCTGGTTATAAACATGTATGTCAAATACAAACACATGATTTTGAAAGTGAAGGATAGGTGGGCAGAGCTTTTACATTGGATTGGGAAAATTTATTGATTTCTCACTATATGGAGAAGTTAGGATGTTGAAGCTGTATACTGGACCTTGGAATTGTTTAAGATTATGTTTAAATAAGTCAGACAGTGTATATGAAATAATACTGAATTTATACAAATTAAAAGAGGAAAAGTCAGAAATCTGATGCATCATGTGTTACACAAAAGTGAAGAATGAGAATTTTTTACATATTTTCTTTTCAAAGTAAAACTTAAAATATATAAATATTTGAATTATAAACTAAAGTTTGATACTAATTTCATTGACATACATTGATAATAAAGCTGTTGTATTAAATTTTGAATATAATTTTGTGAAATGTATAAACTTTTTAAACTGCACAAGAGCCACATCCATTTTTACAGGACAAATAATAAAAATGGAATAGAAGAGCACTTTCTACAATTCTATTTCCTTAGCTTGCTTGCCACACAAATACTAGTTATGACAAAATGTCTAAAAAAGAAAGTTTTTGTATAAAATGAGCATATAATTATAAAATTTTCTTTGGGAAGGTGTTGGTGTGAATATTCTTGTCACACATGAAGCCCAAAGTTACCAAAGGCCTAAACTGTAAAGTTATTAAAAATTGGTGCTATTTACTCAGTAGTTGTCCATGGTGGTCTGACCAAATAATAAGTAATCAACTAAACTGTTAATCACCACATCCTTGAAATTCCTATGAATGACATCTTTGATATTATTATTATAAAAAATCCCAGTACTTTGACTATTCTACTGCTTTTTTTTTTGATTGGTGGAACAAGTGGTCAATTGATATGTATTTCAGGGATAGCACTGAGACATGGACTTTCTCTTACTAATAAAATTTGTCATGTGAGTGTTTTTAGAATCATTAACTAAAATATCAGAATCTTTGAAAATAGCATAATGTAGCATATACCTCTTGTTCTGACTAGTTAAAATCACTACTTTGCAAGACCAATGATTTCTTTACTCTGAAAAATGTTTGGTCTACAAAATACCAAATGACTAATTCTTTTCTGCATTGAAACTTTTACTTCACACGTTAAGTACTCCTGTACTTGTAAATAAATTAGCAGCAAACTAGGTTGAAAATCACATATACAAAACTGATGATTTAAAGGTTTTGTTACTCTGGTTATATACGGAAATTAGTTTTGACAAGTAACTTCGATATTACACTAACAATTCTTGCTAATAAAGACTGACTAAAATAATGCATTTTGATGGTTATGGTAAATACCAACATAATAAATCCTGATAATTAAGCTTGATCTCAAAATAACAAACTGAAAGAATGCACAGAATATTCTAGTCCTAAAAAACAGCATACAATTATAAAATTTAATATACAGTGTAATAATTGTGACAAATAAATGATATCATTTTATATCTATTATGGCTTAAAAAGTTGATTACTTTTTTTGAGGTTTGATTTGAATTTTGCGGAAAGCTACACGATATCTACACTACCTGTCCCTAATTTAGCAGTGTAAGACTAAAGGCAAGGCAGCTAGTCATCACCACCCACTGCCAACTCTTGGGCTACTCTTTCATCAACAAATAGTTGTATTGACTGTCACATTATAATGCCCCCAAGGCTGAAAGGGCAAGCAGGTTTGGTGGGACAGGGATTCGAATCCGCGACCCGCAGATTGAGAGTAAAGCACCCTAATTTTTCTTGAAAAATATCAATGAGATTGAGGGCTTTAAAATATGAGACCAAACTGATAAGACAGGGATCCAACTCTTCTCTAGTAAATAGTTGTTACTGCTTCAAAAAAAATTCATTATTAGCATGATATGATTTGTTACTTTACAGCACTACTAATCTAAATTAAGAATCATTCCGAAGTCGCACTACAAAGTTTCATACCTTCTATATCAGAACTTCAAGATCTTAAATATATCTTTTTACTTAGTTACTGTGCAAGTTCTAAAGTGCTCTAATTTTAAAAATCATACCTTTCTGCATCTAAGCGTCTCCTACGACACAAATTTAAAGCCGTTTGTCTAACAAGAGTTCCAAGTATACGACGACTAACAACCATTCCATCAACCAAAGGAAGAGCCAGTGTCATTCTAAACAAAAATAAAAATGGCAAGTATAAATCAGCTTTGGAATAAAGGTAAAAGAGGTTAAGGAAAAATACTATAATGGTAGAATGTACACCAAAAAGTACTTAGTTAAATCACTGGAAATAGCTAACCTTCCACTTGGTCCTTGCATTTTTATACGAAACAGTCCATTTTGTAAAGCATGTATAAAAATAATAAAAATGTCCTTCTCTGAACATCGAGGAGTTAAAGCGGGAGGCTCCAAACCAGTTGCTGTTTCTTGAACTAAGTCACCTAAATTAGGAAACACACAACTTTATTGATGAAGATGAAAAACTGTCGCAAAAAGTTCAACATTTTCATACTATGACATTACATCAGGGTTAGGTTTACTTTATTCATGTTCTTTATGGTTTTTTTTGGATTTTAAAATTCTTGCTTTGCCTCAGGCTTTCTAATTATAAGACACTTATTAAGATTATTAAGAGCAAATTTGGCATCAAATTTTGTTAGCTTTTTGAGCTGCAGAAAAACAGTATTAATTCACTCGCTAAAATTTTCATTTTTACAATTAAGAATTGAAATAAATTTTGACTTGGTACTTACATTTGAAATTAGAAATATTTAAAGCCTTTCCTTGTGGCTAAAGTTCTGAATGTCCTTGACACGATGCAGAGCACACACCAACTTACCCATAGTTTTCAAATCTTCCACCTTCCACATGATTTAATTATTACTCTTGCATCAGGAGGGCATATACAAGTTCTGCTTTTCCACCATAATTTAGTTTTTTTGTTGACAGCACATTTATGCTGTTAACTTCACTCAGCATGAATTAAGAAGTTGGCACGTACTACTACTGCAAATGTTTTAGCAACATTGGAATACTTACAATTTCTCATGGGGCCTTTTACTCATGTAGTCTGCAGAGAGTTCCAGTGTCTATATTATCAGGCCTTATTGATCTATGTATTAATGTGTTTAATTCCAAATTATCTACTGATGCCTGGTGGGTTTCACATTCATGTGGACACTCAAATTCAGAACATATATCCTATTGTCATGCTGATGATTAAAAAATAAAGGAATAAAAAATAATACAGAAATGTTTATTTGATTAGGCCTATTCACCTTCACTGTATGAAGAGCAGGACTTATCAGTCAGAACTAACTTTAAGAAGCTACTGTTGGTCTTTTCTCTCTCTTAGGTACATTCTATTTTAAATCCTGAACTAATTTCTGTTATGCATGAAGGTGTTAATGTCATGTTCATGAACCTTTATATTTTCCACTTTATGATTTTAGGGTCACTGCCAATGCTTCTAAAAATAAGCTAAACATTACCAGCTTATTAGCTGGGTCATCTTCTTCTACGCATCTCATTTCTCATTTTGACTAATTGTCAGTTTTCTGTTCTGCATGTTATGTTTTGTCTCATTCAAGGTAATTATTAGCTATCAGCTGCTCTCATTCTCCTGATTTTTGTAGTTAGGACAAAAATGTTACCTTGCAGTCTTCCCCATTGTTCAATGACCTTTTCCCAACTTTTGTTTTAGCAACCTCAAGTTCCTAAACATTGTCCTAAATGGGTCTTGGGTTTAGTCACTCAGAAGTTAAGCCACGTTGTTGTTGACAGCAACTCAACAAGGAGAGGCCTTTCATGTTTCAGATGTAAGTCTGCTTGTTTAGAATTAGAATTAGCTTTTCAAGTTATTTCACATTGCTTGAACTTTAAAAAATTCTTCATATAAAATTTACAAGTCATGATGATATAAAGAAGCACAAATTCAGTTTTTGAGATTAATTATAAATATAAGTTATTTAATTCTTTAAAATTTGCAATTAAAATATTCTTTGTCAGCCATTCAAAATACTATTTCTAAGCCAGGTTTTCTTTATTTAAAAATATAATTAAAAAGAAATGTAATATCTTATAACAAATTAGAATTAATTAACTATGCAAATGAAATCAGCTTTGTTTTAAACAGCATGGAAACTAATTCATAAATGAACCTTGTGAGATCATTTATAGTTTATCTTCTTATAAATGTAATGATTTACTAAATTAAAAAGCACTTTGTCATTTGACTTATGGACCTATTTCTAAAACATTACAGTTCCATACTCATCTGTCTTCAAGTTTTTTACAATGTTTGAAAGTTTGCTCCATTTCTCTTTATGATGAAGAAAATGTTTGATAAAGTAAGAAAAGAATATGTATTAATACTTTCACAATGCCTTCTTTTTATAATCATAAGTCAAGTAAGATATCCTATATTTGAAAATAATATAGATAAAACTTTAATATCCCTATTAAAATCCTAAGTTATTGACAAGATACTTTATTTATTATCAAAATAATAATTACTTTATTATTATTTAATAATTATTACTTTATTTAATTTTTTTTACCAAAGGGAAAAGTTGCATGATCTTCAAAACTTTCTAGCCAGACAACTAATACTTTAAAGTCACCACTGCTACTGGAACTGAACTGACGACCAAATTTATGGCTGGATCCTGGACGAGTACGACCAAGTCCTTCAGATGATTCAAGGCTTAACGACAAACCTCTGGGTTTGCTACTTTCAGATGATGACTGAGAAGACAATGATGTCCTATCCTCTTCTACAGGATGATCCAGAGAATGACGGTCCAAAGGTACATCAAATCTGACTGCTGTCAGAAAATACTTGTACATTTGTTACTGATTCTTTGTTGTCAGAGTAACATTAATGATTGGAAACTATACAATTATGGTAAAATAATCAAATATATGTAAAACCTGACCTCAAGGTAACAAATGTAAACTTTAATGGTGCTGTTACGACAGCGGGGGTCACGTGACGTTAGTAACATGTATATTCTCGAAGGTTCGTGAATCCTCGAGTGTTTACTAGATTTGCAGTATTCTTGTATATAAGACCGCCAAGAAGTGACGGCAACAATGTAATTGAATTGCAGACAGAGATACAGACGACAACTGAGCCAAGCACATGAATCGTTCGTTCGTTGTGAAATATAGTGTTTATTTAAGTTATAGCGTGACTGTGGAAATTAAGTGTATTGCAAAGTTGTATTGAGAAAGAATAAACTAGTTTTATTTAAGAAAGGACTTAATAGCTAAAGTTTCTTCAGAAAGAATTTTTGCGGAAAATTAACTAACGACCAGAGATGTAAGAGTGCATTGTTGTAACACAAATTCTACAAAAGTAGGATTTCTGAAACACTTAATTCAAGTAGAACAAAAGTCAATATAGGTAAAAGTACTCTAATACATTATTTTAAAAACATACAATTTAAACTCATAATAATTGTTACATCAATATCAAGTGTGTTATAAGACCTCTAACTTAATCAAGAGATAATTCAAAGTTTAAAGAAAGGGAAGACAAACATTTAACTAACTGTTTTTTTTTCATACATTGTTATTTTTAATTTCTTTTGAAGTATTTCAATAACAATGTATGTATGTAGAAATACGAAACTAATTTTACAATTGACTACTGAACTGCTACAATAACATCACTGAAGTAATGCATTAATATTATGCTTCTTTACCATGAAAACATAAAAAAAAGTGATGATAAACATACACTAGTTATAATTGGAACATTGCATTTGGACAGTTATTTTTTTATGCCAGTTGCAAAAGATTATACATTACGCTACATGATTTTAGCACAAACTCAAAAGCCAGGTTAGTTATACTATAGACAATATTAGCCTCTATACCACTAAAAATCTACTGAATTAAATTTTCTGATACCATATTGATAAACACAAGGTATGCTAAACCTAATGGTAAAATAAAAAAAAAGTCTGATTTTAGAGTATAAAATTCCAGGCTTCTTGTAATCTAGGTAAAACTTTCACATAATTAATAATAATTATTCATTTTTACAGACCAATCTTAGCATTCTCATAGTATGTGTCTCAAATTTTTAAATATTTTGGTTCTTTCAATGTAATTGGCAAAGAAGAAATACATGGATGTTTTATTATTCTAATCTTATGTACTATAAATGTTGTACATATGTTATGTTCACTGTTTGTTTGTTTTGTTTTGAATTTCGTGCAAAGGTACATGAGGGCTATCTGAGCTAGCCGTCCCTAATTTAGCAGTGTAAGACT